TATTATTATTATCATCTTCATGCACTAGATCAGCTGAACATTGTTTATTACATATCCTAGTGGAAGGGTAATTCCAAAGCAGCTCAAAGAAAATAAATTAGTGTAGTACACAAACTGTCCTTTTATTTTACTTATAAATGACAATTTAGTGTAATTGCTTCTCCTATCAGTTTTCTCTGTAATTCCCTTTTTTTCATATTGGTAAAAAATGATTTGGGGTTTTGGATTAAAACTGTATGTCTGTGTAGTTTGTCTTCCAAGCAAGCACTGTGCTTATTTTCTCAGGGTTCCTTTGTGTATTTTAAACTGAAGTTATTTTAAACAAACCAGTGGGGATAGAATAGTTTTAACTTGTACCTCCCCAAGAAACAGTATGTTGGGACTTCTTAGAGATGCAAAACTGCTTTGGGTTTTAAAAAAATGTAGTGATTTATAATTTCATCCATCTCTTCATGCCTATTTCTGTCTTGGGGTTTTTTGATTTTTCTTATTTTCCATTTTTCCTTTTTTCTCTAACCCTTTTTTTTGGCTTAATTGACTTGCAACCTACTGCATAACATTAGCTAACTTCTGTTTGGATGATAAATGTCTTTACTCAGTGGACATTAATTTCCTGTGTTACCGCAGTTACATGAAAATGCTCACAGGTCAGATCTCAGTAACAGATCTGAATTATTTAACCATATTATACTAGAACAATTATGGTATTTGGTGTGCTTAACAGATAAATAAGAAACAGATAAATAAGAAATAATTCAAATTAACAGAAACCTTTTCATGGCTATATTGTTTTCTGTCAAGTTACAAAAAAACTACTTTAAGTATTATTAGTAGACTTTCCCCAAGCAAGAATTAAGTGAAAAGATTTCCTTATCTTTTTTACTGCCAGACCACCCAGAGTAGTGTTGATGCATCTTGTTCTCTAAGATACAGTTAGATGACTTACGTTCATGAAACATTTTAATGTACGTGGCCACGCCTTGAAAAACATGCTTAGAAAATCTGTTGAAAATTAATAGCAACAACTCACTAACAAATTCTTTGGCCTTTACATCAATCAGTGTAAATACTTTAGACTAATAGTTTGTGCTCTTTGTCTTGCAGGTGAAAGTGGCGTTACATTACTGCAACTCATTGGTGATCCTCCACCAGAACAAATCACCAAAATCTTTGGCCCTGACAATAGCCCTGGCTATGTCTTTGGTCCTGACTCCAACACTGGCCAGCTTGCAAGAGCACACTTGCCCAGTCCTTTTTATCGGGACTTTTCCCTCCTCTTTAACCTTCAGCCAACCTCCAAAAAGGCAGGTGTGATTTTCTCCATCACAGATGCCTCTCAGCAGATCATGTATGTGGGTGTCAAGTTGTCTGCAGTGCAAGGAGAAAAACAGAGGGTACAGTTTTACTACACTGAGCCTGGATCCCAAACCTCTTATGAGGCAGCTAGTTTCAGCGTGCCATCTCTTGCCAACCGCTGGACACGTTTTTCCATCAGTGTGAAAGATGATGAGGTAATGTTCTACAACATGTGTGACTCCGATCCCATCCTGGTCCGATTTGAGCGTTCCCCCGATGAGATGGAACTGGAAGGTGGAGCAGGAGTCTTTGTTGGACAAGCTGGAGGAGCTGATCCAGACAGATTTTTGGTATGTTTTTTTTTTGTTCATTTGTTCTATCACTTCAAACTCAAAGTTGCTGGTGTTGCAAAAGTTCCAAAATCATTGAGTATTCATCTTCAAGCCCCCTTTCCAAATTTTAACATGTGCTCCAGGAATTCTAACCCTAAAATCAACTAGATAATGCAATTGTTGTGAAGTCAGAAAAGAAAGAAGCTTGAACCCTGGAATCAGTAAGACCATCCTCATTAAAATCTGCTATAATTCCTTTATTGAAAAAAATGAAAGCAGAGAAAGATAAATCACCTGCAAGGAGTTTAGGATGATGATAATTACAAGATTGTGAATACCATGTTTTCTGGAACTTTTTGAGTATTTTAATCAAACACCAAGTCATAAATAATGACTTAATCAAGAGACCAAAATACAGTCTGAAAAGTGTAATACTAGTGCAAAGTAAATATTCATATGAAGAGGCCAGACAGCGATTTTCGATTGGATTACCAGAGAGTGTCCGATCACAAAACACAGGCATTTAAAAAATAAAATTTTAGAAACAATATGGCTGCTAGATATCTTTAACACAGAGCTGAAATTTATTATGTGGTTGCATTGCTTATGATGAGAATTCCAAAATTCTAGTATGCATTCCAAAGAGAGGTCGGGGAATTATAGATTGAAAAGGAGCATATCTTGAAAAGGTTCAAGTGAGAAAATGATAGTATGTAAATCTCAATGAATATGAAGCATTTTGACCAGGGCTTCAAACAGAGGTAGGCTGATATTTAACATTGCAAACTTTAATGTTCCCAACCATTTGACGCCATTGTTAAAGGTTTGGTATCTAAAATAATAATAAAACCTGATCTAAACTCTGATCCTGTGTACAGTGAAAAAACAACATATTGGCAGTTGACAATACATTGTCTGTAGCCGCATGTGAAGGAGGCAGAAAATGTTATCAGGTGTAAGACCCCTAATGCCTTGGTAACTGAGACTTAAGTAACAGTTTGTGGTCTTTTCTTGCAGAAAAACTGACTATAAAACCATAAATATGGTCTTTTAGCATGTTATAGCTAGGCATCCCGCTAAATAAAAGAGATGATATGATGCTTGCTGGATCTTATTTTTTCGAACCATTATAAATGAAAGGAATCCTTCAAACCTTTGTTAATGGCAGTGTCATTTCAAGTAGAAGAGGACCTCATTGAGGCTAATTGAGGTCTCAAATACAGCTGCCTTTGCAGGGAAAAGTTTAGGGAAACGAAATGATTAGAGAAACCTCAGACAACTACCCCAATAATACCAAGTTTCCAAACTGCAGAATTTAGAATGAAAAAAGTTGAAATATTTATCTGTGTGGCAGTAAAGCCTTTAGTGATTAGGTTAACTGCCTTTAAAGTAAAAAAAAAAATGCCTAGATTTACATGTGCTAAATTCAGCACAAACTCTAAGCAACAAATTCTTAGTAATTGTAATTATATTTCTGTAGTTGTGAAGCAAGTACTGTGAAATGAAGTCTTCGTCTTTAATGAAGTCATTGACTGCATCCCATAAAATTAAGTTGTCTACCAAGTTCCCGGAAAAGAAGCCTCTCCATTTGAGTTTGAAACTAAGTTTGTTTCCATCACTGTTATCATTCTGATGCTACCCATGACATTATCAGTTCACCTTTATTATTTTGTTATGATTTATGTCAACTGATGGATTCTTGTTTGCACTTCACTGTTTTTTAAAATACCTTACACTTATATAGTGCTTTTCTGGACACTCCACTCAAAGCGCTTTACAGGTAATGGGGACTCCTCTCCACCACTACCAATGTGCAGCATCCACCTGGAAGATGCAACAGCAGCCATAGTGCGCCAGAACGCTCACCACACATCAGCTATCAGTGGGGATGTGAGCAGAGTAATGAAGCCAATTCATAGATGGGGATTATTAGGAGGCTTAGTAAGGGCCAATGGGAAATTTGGCCAGGACGCTGGGGTTTCACCCCTAGTCTTTTTTTGTGAAATGCCCTGGGATTTGTAATGACCACAGAGAGTAAGGACCTTGGTTTTACATCTCATTTGAAGGACAGAGCCTTTTTTACAGTATAGTCTCCCCATCACTATACTGGGGCATTAGGACACACATAGACCTCAGGGTGAGCGCCCCCTGCTGGCCCCACTAACACCTCTTCCAGCAGCAACCTTAGTTTTTCCCAGGAGGTCTTCCATCCAGGTAGTGACCAGACTCACACCTGTTTAGCGTCAGTGGGTTTCCAGGTGTGAGTTTCAGTACTACACAACCACAAAATGAACGGTTATGGGGGCAGTTTTTATTTATTATAACTGTGGCTTGCTCGAAAACCCCCACTTGCTGTCAAAACCTTAATTAAAGATAAATCTACTTTATTAAAATTATAGAAAAATGATGGAAACAAAGGTGGATTTTCTGGAGCAAGTTCAACAACATACGATTTTTGAAGCTACTGCACTGAAAATGAACTTTGTGATAAAAGAAGAAAATTCACTGCCCACTTATGTATCTTGGCAAGATTATTGGGAGTCAACCTGGTTATTTATTAGCTTTGGGTCTTAGCAATAATGAACATTTTACAGATTTTCCAAATGTTATATCATCATATGTGGTATTAATGTCAGATCCAATGCAGATAAATTCTGCATTGCAGATGTTTTACTCTAAATTATGTAGCTCTGACATTAAATTTAATCAAGAGAAGTATACTAGGTTTCTCATATCTCTTCATTTACTTGATCTTTGTCTGGCAGAGGCAGCAGTATTAAAAGGTTCTTTTATCCCTGTCTAAACTAAATAAGGTAGTTCAGAATATGACAAATAGTAAATCTCCTGACATTGATGGCATACTTCCTGAATTATATCTGACTTTCTGGCCTGAATAAGAATCAAAGCTCTCTTTTATTTCACATGATAAGTACAGCTATTGAGGAAGGTTCTTTTCGGAGGTATGTTAATACTGATTTTACATCCCTATTATTGAAAAAAGACAAAGATCCCGCTCTTTGTGTAAGCTATTGTTCTGTCAGTGATTTGCTTGAATACCAAGATGTATGTTAATGTGCTTTCACACCAGCTTGAGGTCTGAATAAACAAATTAGTTTACCAGGTCAGACTGGCTTTGTCAGAGGGCAACTGGCATTTTATAACTTCCACATTATATATTCAGTAACTGACTTGGTTACCTCTCCCCAAATTGTTCTTTCATTAGATGCAAAGATTTGATCAGCTTGAAAGTGAATAACTGTAGTCATTTCTAAGTCATATAGGATTAGGATCCTATAGGTTTCAATTAATATTTTTACTTAACGTAATGTTATTGATGAGCAACTAGTATTTTTTCCAGTTTGCTATTTCTAAGGGCACTTGTCAAGCAAGCCTATGTTGTTTATCTTGACTTTGGAACATCTTGATGGCTCATCAATTTACTACATCTACCCATTTTGCCATCAATAGTACTTAATAATGTATATTGCCCTAAACACAAAATATACAGTTAGATGAAGATAATGGCTCCCACCCTCTGTCTCCTCTAATTAGTTTGATGATTTCAGAGTTCTATCGGGTTAGAAAATAAAGTTTGCCCATAAAAGAAGAGTTGTTTATTTAATTGAAAAACTGATTCAATACAAATGTGTCATTTTAAAAAGTCCTCCTTCCTGCAGCATCCTTACGCACATACATTTCTTGGATGTTATGATTCCTAATCCGCTACCATTAAAAGCACCAAAAAGAATGAGACTAAGGCCTTTTCTCCAGTAACCTGTTCAAGACTTGGTTCCTAATCAGTTAAATTACCTTCCATTGATTAGAAATACAAATGCTTATGAGAGAAATGCAAATCCCACTGGGAAAATGCAAGTAATTGCTTTTGGTTAAACCCAAGGGAGCAATTTGCTCAGTTCACCTCCTGCTGTCAATCTAATGGGTCACCCACTTTGACCTCTGTTCTGAACATTGAAAACAGCCATTCTAAAGGCATCTTACCTCCGTTAAATAGTTTGGTAGCAGTAAAACACAGAAAATATATATTTCTTTCTAATTATTTTATCAAACTAATAATGTGAGGAAGCAGACCCTCAGCCCTTTTCTTCAATGACACATCGTCTGCTAAAAATGGTAAAGGTTTCAGAATATCATTGACACTCTGGGTCATAGGGTAGAGTTTCTGTGGGAAATTTCAGGCCTCTTGTCTTGCAGCACTATGATAAAAATACCAGATACCCTCTTGTCAGAGCTTGTGTTCTCACGGCTGTTTTTCCAACACTTTTTTACCTAAAGGCATTCTGAAGCCCCACATAGCAGTCTTTCATTCTTGTCACATGTCCTCCACCCTTTTCACTTATGGGTCAGGCTTGACAGGAGCATATCTGGTGATTTAGGCTGAAGCACCTTTACCAGCTGTGAAGACGTGTAGGTCATACTGAGGCTTATTTATGATTCAGATAGAGTGTTCAGACAACTTTGAAATTTCATCTAGTATTTGTAACAAATAGCTTGGTTGCATTGACTAAACTATGCATTGGATATTTAATGCAATTTACAATAACTCTTTCTCACAAGACCTTTTGATTTATTTTTGTTTCTCTTGATAAGGTTAATTAACATTTTTAATTCACTGATTCCTTAATAAATAAATTTGTTTTTGATGTATCACATGCCCATACAGGTGGAAGATGCTAATTTAGCATTTTATTGGTTATATAATATTGCGGGTGGAATTGTGGGTAAATATCTGCCACAAAAGAGCAGTTTTGCATATTTATCTGAAAGTGATTAATTTTAAGACATTAATTTCTCAGATGTTTGGGGCCCTATTATATTTTGATATTTGTATAAAGCCACGCTGAGTTCTCTAAAAGCTAGCCATTAGCTCGCTTAAAAGTGGAGCACATAAAAATGCCTTGGATTCAGTTGAACTTTATCTGGTTTGGAAGAATGTGTCTTGACTGATGTCTGTCTGTGGCGTCTTGAATGCCTGTCTGAAAATAAGTCTGCCTCTATTTAGGTATGGGATGCTATCCCAAGGCGACAGTGGAACATTGAGCTGCATGAATAAAGAGGTTTGCATTATATTTAGAGGGGTACAGTGTGTGTCAGTTTAACTCAAATGTAGGAATTAGGTCAAGGTTTTCTTTAGGATTTAAGGGAGCATATCAATTCTAAATTTTGTACATAGACTTGTGCCATGCACACATAGATTTTGTACCTGTTACTGTACATTGCTTTGTATTGACTAAGTTTATGAATCATGTGAATCAAATAATCTGCAGCTGCCTTTAACTCGGTCCATTATGCTACATTGCTTTTGACCATATCTTTAGTGAAAAGGCCAAGTCTTCTTCATCCTTTCAGTTATTTAACATTTGCAAAGGGATTCATTCTTTTTTTAAAATAGACATTCAAAGGACTCTTAATATGCATTCAGCAGTTTGCAATAGATGGTTAGCAGAAGGAGAAATGTAGAACTCGTCTGAAAATTTTCTTCAGTTTAGGTTAAAGTGAATTGTGTGGGTTTCATCTGCAAAAGGGCTTTTCATTTCAAATATGCACTAGATTGTAATTTAGTCTTCACTGTTAGATACAATGAGCATTAAGACACACAAAGATTCAATTAAGTAATGATAAAGACCCATTCACAATGAATGGAACACACTGTTGTGAACTCAGCTCAGAGTATGTAAAGGACAGAAGGGTCATGTCTGTTTTAAGACTCAGATTCCTGCTCCTACCAATTCAAGAGTCTACACGAAGCTGGAATTTGTGTTTAAATAATTGAAAGAGCCCCTTGTTTTGACTGTCTATTATAACAGAACTGAATTTGAATAGAACAGAACTCTTTTTACCAAGACAACTTGCAAATAATGCCAGTAAAATCTTGCAGTAGTTATTACTGTTGATCACTTACTGTACAAGATCATACAGGTCTTCTCCTGTTTTCTGTTCTGCGAAGACCAGAAGGAAGGTTTTAATAAGATGCATTTCATAAAGAAAAGAAATGAGGCCTTGAGATTGTGTTGAGGCCTTGAGATTGTGTAACACAATATGTACCTTTTGTAAATGAAAGCAAGCTACAGCCAGTGGGCATCTTAAATTATTTACATGAACTGCAATTAAATTAAATTATTTCAGTGGTTGTTTAAATTATGGTTTCTCTGTCTTTACACGTTATTGACCTGTAAATTGCCTATGTCTTCCTGCTATACAAATGTAGAACTTAAAATATATCTGGATTATGAGAGTTGTTTTTAGTTAAGTTTAATTCTTTGGCATCACCAAAATAATGTATTGTATTCTAATTTATATACTGTATATTGCATTTACTAGTATAGACCCTGACATAAGAGTTGCTGCTTTTCTATTGTCTATATAGATCAGTTTCTAGTAATTAGGTTTTCATGCAGTGATTATTCCAAATACTCACAACCAGGTTCATCATACAGCTGTTTCCATTTGTTTTAAGGGTGTAATTGCAGAGCTGAAGGTGATTGGGGATCCCCGTGCTGCTGAACGACTTTGTGAAGAAGAGGAAGATGACTCAGATGCAGTAAGTGATAAATTGGGATATATTTTGTAAATGTGACTCAGCACCTTTTTAACACTACCTTTGTGTACCAAACATAATGACCACGACTAAGAATCAAAGTAACATTGGCATAGTTTCTCATGCATAAATTAAAACATCTGATATTTATTGACAAGCACGTGTAATTTCTTTGACCATCCTTAGTTTACAATGCAAAATACTGATACAGATTCTAACAAGTAATTTTAAAGTCTCAACATACTCATTTAACCAGTTTGTCCAAAATGCATCTTGACCATTTGCTTTACAGTTTCAATTGGATTTCTGGAGCGACGCTAAAGCCGTAGCTATCGTTCCGGGTTGGGGAGAAAATGTGAAAATACTTGTCATGTATTTTAAAAATGAGAAAGTATATTATGATTAATATTGATATATTAAGAAATACTTTGATCATATGTAAATGCTACAAGTTTTGGCATTTACTACTGTGTAAATGTACAGCATTGTTAAACTGCAACTCTTTCATACATTCTAAAAATAACAATGGTTTTTACAAGTAGAACCATTAACAAAAATGAGTCATTAGTTAAAAAGTCAGATTATTTGAATCACTGTTTAAATAACCGATTTAAGATTAAATACAAACACTAATGTCAAGTTTAGTTCGTGCAAATATATATATAGTATGCACTCATGTGTAACTTTGTTCTCAAGTGAACAGATATTTCTGCATTTTTTAAACTTTACGATGTTGTTATGTATATATAATACAGTATATAAAAGGTAATGTTAGTGTATACATTTTTATATTGCAATCATATGTAAATGGTTATAATGTCAAGACATATAAGTATGATTTTGAGTTGTCCATTATTATAGTAGAATTAAAGGTGTAATAAGTATCAAAATTAAGCTACAATAATTGATTTGTGAATTAAAGAAATTAGCTTAAAACTTTGCTTTCATCACTAGCACTGTGCTGTTTTTATGCACATACTAGTGATATCCATTAAATAAAGCAGCATGTACAGTAGATGTACAGTATATACTGTAACAGTGTCATGTATACTGTATATACTGATGGAAAAAGAAACGCAACACCTCCACACTCTGGCCCTCCCGTCTGCATGGAACAGGCTGAAGAGTGACTCATCCGTGAAGAGGACCTGATCCACTGCTGACGCGTCCATTGCAGCCTCTGTCTGGCCCTAACGAGCTTTCATGTGATTGGCAAATTGCAATGCCTCGTTGCACAAGCTGTATTGCTGGTCAGAGGGCTTAAAACAAATTGACAACTTTTTGTGGAAGTACATAAGCTATAACTATAGTATTCTCATTCCAGAAAATGTTGCGTTTCTTTTTTCCCTCAGTATATATTTAAGTATCGAACAATACCATAAACCTTTTTTCATAAATATTTTGTGTTTATAAAAATCTAAAACTAATTTACATTGTCCTTAATTAGTAACTATTCATATGTTCATAAGCAAGGAAATTTAAACTAATCTTTATTTTTCAGAAAAAGAAAAAAACTACTGCAATGTCACAGATAATACCAATTGTGCTCCATGTTTCACTGGATGATGATACTACTTGCTGACCTGCAGCTTTGCAGTGTCTCCATTTTATCACTAGTAATATGTTTACGGCAATGAAAATACTTTTGTTTCTGGTGATCCTTTAAGCTAAACAAACAGCTGTAGGTAAAACTTCCAATTTATATGCCAGTCCTGTTATATGACTTCCATTAGTGTTTGACAGTAGTACATTCTTGGCAGAAACTAAGGGGTTACTAGATGAACAGGTCAGGAACACTTAAACAGTGTAAACACATGCTTGGCAGTCAGAGATATGTTATTTGTTATTTTTTTATAATTTACTGCTAAAGTACGCCTGTATAATTATTATCTGGGAATACTGTTTATCACCAGAGATATGGAAGAGATTTGTCTTCTCAATGTCTTCTTTGAGGATAGAATATAAAGTCTTTATCTAAATATGAAAGTACCATATATACATAAAATATAAAATAGTAAAAGTACCATATATACATTCTCATGCTAAATAATATATTACAGTCAAATTATCTGTAAAAGTTACCTTTATAATAAAAAAACAATAGAAGCAGCAGAGAAGAAAAAGCATTTAGATGGCCTTTTTCAGAGATTTTTGATTACACGTGGGTGCGCACAGATATAGGACTTTAGATTCTTTCTGTTACACGTGTGCAGAAAAACGTCTCATCTTCAAACCTTTTTTCCTTCATAACTGTTGATTCAATGAAATATAATATGAACCTTAGATTAAAAGGCAGTTTCTGAAGCTGTAGAACATTCAATTAAGTGAAACCTTATAAAAAACAGTATGCTCCTTATTTTTTATGTGTGACAGTTTTACAGTCTATGGGGAATACCCATAGGCTTCTCAAAGAAAATTTGACTGTCCTTAAGTTAGTATTTAACCTGTACATAGTAGAGTTATTAATATTCTCCAGATCAATTAAATAGTCTTATTCTGGATATTTCTTAGTGGATATCAACCACAAAATTAGGTAAAATATTATAATAGCACAATTGTAATGTACATTCTGATTAGTATTGATAGAATCCTTAAACGCAGGTTACTTTTTTAGTCTGTCCAAATAAGCTTTGATGGTCGCTAGTTTAATTTACACGAAAATCATTTAAGAATTACTTCACAGTCTCTACTCTCCCGTAATCCTAATCTGACAAACATACTTCTCAGTACTGTGATAGTGAAACTGACAGTTTGATTTATTACAGTAGCTTCAGACTAGCATTTGAAACACAAATCTCCTCACAGCTACAGTAGGTACAGTGAACCAATGAGCAACTGCAAAGGTGATGTTGGGGTGGAGAGAAGGATGCAAAATGAAGAACACAGAAGATGCTGTTTGTTACCTGAACATTGTGCATGATTAGAGCGTTCGCTCTTGAACCCTGAGCATCAGTTATAGACAACAACAAAACATTTATTTTGACAGGTCTCTGGTGACTTTGGAAGTGGCAGTGATGTGGCACCAACAGAAACGGTAAGGTTTTTCATACAGTTTCCTTGTATGTCTTTTTTTTGTTTTAAGTTACCAAGCCCTGAGTAATGCACATTCCTGGGACTACTCTATGAGACGTGTTATGTTAATATCACTTATACTCACTGTAGTCTAAACTCGTCACTGAAGTATTTAGACAAATACGTGATCTCGTATTGAAATTAAGATGCTTCTCATGAGAGCTTTTGTGAAGCTGAGCCGCCTAACTGAATCTGTTCATCATTGAGGGTGATATTTTCTGTTTGAAGGGGGCTTCCATAAATATAAAAATGAGAAGAAAATTAACACTTCATTCATTGGAGCTTTTCCAAGACATACTTCTTGTAGATGTAATTCCATCAGCATTGCATTTCAGATCAAATACCTACTCATTATGCCCTGTAGACAAAAACAGACTGTAAAACAACAAATACTGACTGTAGTTATCAATTAACTAGAGACAAGATGAACAATATAACGATCTGTGTATGTGATCCATTATAAAAAACAGGTGTCACCATTAAGTACAGTTCACTTCTGTAATCTTCCAGTTTAAAGCTTTGTGAGTATTTTCAATGTATTATTTAGCTGTTTTATCCATTATTACCAAACATTTATTTTGCTCTGATTTATTTAGTTGTGGTGGCTAGGTATTGTCCTGTTGACCCTCTACAGTATTAAAGCCAGTCTTTGGATGTTCTATTCATTTCTTCAAATTTAGCAATATGGAGGTTTTTTTCTTTCAAATTTAAAATCTGCAGTGGCAATTTTGTTTTTTGTGTCACTTTTTTTTACCCCAAACTGTTTAATTTCTTGATTCTTGATTTATATTTGTCCTTTTTGCTAGACCTTTAATTTTTACAGTCATTTTGAAGGGTATAAATTCAAATTATAATCCAAGGATTGGACCTAAAGTATACAGAATAATAAAAGAAACAAACAGTAAGAAAATATTTCCTGCATTTTGGTTTTAACACTTCCCTATCTGATCTTCTTACTGATGCACTTTTAGAATGGATGTACAGTTTTAGAAAGGAGTGCACCCTACAGAGAGCATTTATGGAAAAAACGTGAAAGAAAACTTACAATTCCTAAGATTGTGAGTGAAAATGTGCTGTTTGCAAAGGTGTTGGGAGTAAATGCTGTCTTATTCTACATGATACTGTATGTGAAGGTTTAAAAACAATATGGAGTCAAACATTGAAAGTGTTAAAACTGCTCTTACTTCATAAGTGTTTGCTGCTGTGAACAGGTTTCCAGCTTGCTCTTGCACTGAACAGATGGTCAGTGATGGTCAGTGATTACTAGAAACACGAAATCAATGTTTTGTTTCAGATTCTTGATTTTAAACGCATGACATCCATCTCATGGCAGCTTTGGTAGGAGGTTTGTTACGCATACCTCACTGAGATTCATTTAATTTTCACTTCCCACACTGGAACATTTATTACATATTTAATTCGTCCATAACTACTTTGCCCACACATGCCAACAGTAACTGCATTCACAGTAGACCCAAGACCCAAGTGTTTATTCTTCATCCCCTTTCACTGCATTTTTATGACCAAACTTATTGGAAAATGGTGTCTTATGAGACCATTCATACTACAGAGTGCCTTGTACAGTATGTGGCTTAGCTTCTCTTACTATCTTATTACTAAAACCCTTTGGCTTTACCGATCAAGGCTCCTCAGAACAATGTCAAAAGAAGGAAAAGGAAATGATAATAGCAAGGTTTGTACATCCTGTCATCTTTACCTGTATACATTGTCAGCTATGCTTTTATCAGCTGAACAGGTATAGTTTCAGACTGTTTCTTGGTCATCACATACTGTATGAAAACATAGCCTGAATATAGCCATTGGACATTCCGGCTACATTATGCTTTAGTTACAGCAGAGGTTGATCCTTTCTCTTAGGAAACAGCATCGTCAGCAGGAACTATTACTAGGTTGAGAGTTCACTGATAATGATTTTTACTAAAGTGTCTCCTGGAGAATGGCAATAGCAGTTCCTTGGCAGCCACCCTGCATTGCACCTATTATTAGCTTCAGAGCCCACTGAAGCCTGCATTCTTTGCATAGATTCACTGCCACTAGCCCCATAATCTGTTGCCAGCTTCAACAGTCAGGGCAAAAATAAATGGTGTTCTATCATGGAAGGCATGCCTATTGCTGTCACAGTGTATTCAATCTTTTTGTCCAGACTGATATTGAAAGATAGGGCCTTAACATGAAACTTGGTATTCAATTACAATGTAGGGCCATGTTTAGCAAAAAAGCAACATACTAGATCCTAACTGTGGACCTTGCAAAGGGTAGGTTTCCTTTTATTGGAAATTAAGGTTCAAATTACACATCCAGTCATAGACAACTAAACATCTTTTTCCCATTTTTGATACATTCTTCTCTTAATGCACAGATATTTTTACAAGAGAGAGACCAAGAGACATCAAGGAAGAACGTGCGTGGTTGGAGGGGGGGCTAGAGATTACAAATTCTCACTTTCTCCCTAATGAGCATTTTTGGAGATGGAGCTGCAAGGATGTCTGAATTGTGCAATTAAGATAACAAGAAAGATTGAAAATGATAGAAGGCTGTTTATTTTTTCAAGGATCTCATCCTGCTATTTCTAGGAAGGGTATCAGCTTCAACAACATAGCCAGGTAGCTTATTCCATACTCCCTTTACCCTTTGTGCAAGTGCTTGAATCAGGTGACGGACAAACAGCAAAGACATAAATGACCTGTCACAGTTAGACATGCAGGAGCTTGAACATTCTGGATTATAAATGATGAATGAGAGTTCAGACTCTCTGTAAGTCTCTGATTTATCCCCTCTCTTTTTAGACAACACCTCCATCTATGCGGCCAATACAACAGCCCCCAGTGACGTCCCAAGTCCACACTTCCGTTCGTGTTGAAACAAACAATCGTGAGTATTCACAATTAATGTTTTTCTCTTCTTTCTTGTTTTGAGTTTTCTCCTTAATTTTTCTTTTGCACAGCCTTTAAGTCTTATTGCTAAGGCTATACTGGTCGTGTGTTTACTATTAGATTCTTGTAGTACCCTTTTGCTGTATATGTACACAATTATGGTGCAGCTTGTGCCGTGGATATGAGATTTTGTGTGTCATTCTTTTTGCCCTTCATGTTTCAGAGTAATTAATCAGGCAAGCTTCAGAAATGGTTTATACTTATGATTGCTACACTTCAATTATTTATTTCCCTTAATACTAATGGTTATTAATTTTCAGAAGAATTGAAACACCAGAGATCTTATCTAAGTGTATCATACACACAACAGTATTGACAATATTAAGTATAACATAATCGTATAACAATATTAAATACAAACAGCAGTCAGAGTTTCCCTTGCTGGAACTCATAATCACATTGAGACGACCCTGTCATCCACCGGCACAAAGTCCAGCTGTATGGCTCCCAGCCAGGAACTTGTGAGTATCCCCACACCTGCCGGGGGCCTCTCGTGTGGGAAAGCGGCAGAGTAGGAGGGAGACCACCACCGACTGAGAAATCTGCTTCCAGAGCCAGTGCTGTGCTTAGAGAGGGAAAACCGACTAGCTAGTCGGTGCTTTTCAACCTCGTGTACCAGCTCCAGCCCCTTCCCCACCAGTACAGTGACGTTGCACATCTCCATACCCTAAGAGCCACTTCCCACTGCCACATCCAGATTCGTCCCACTAATGCCCTTCACCTGACTGGTATTGCACCTGACACCCTTGTGTTTGGGGAGCCTATATGACGGGTCCACGTAGCCATTTTGGGCTAAGCCTGGCTGGGTTATGTGGGTAGCCTGGCCACAAGGTGCATACTGGCGAACATAACTCCCAGGCCTGGCTCTGGAAGGTGCAGGTGGAGGGGGTCCCTGTTTCCCTGTGTCCCTGATCTGAGTAGAGTTCTTTCAGTTTTTAATGAAACCATCATAGGAGTATAGTTTTGATCGTTCTTTGTCTGGCCTCTCACCTTAGACGAATTTGTCAGGATAACCCTATTAGGAGCGCAAATCTCCCAACAACATAGTTCTAAGCTCCCTGAGGCACAGAAACCACTCCATCACAACACGGTCACAAGGGACTTAGGCTATTTCTATGACTTGTAATCTTATGGAAATGATAACTGGAACCAAACGGAGTTGAGCAATACAAGCAGAGCATTAAGGTGTAGCATGTATACTACCATATTATAGAATAGTTGTAAGCTTTTGAGAATGTTTTTCTAAAGAAAGTATAATTTTCTGAAAACTTAATTGATTACAGTACTGATAAAGAATGAATGCTTAATTTGGGGTGATGCATTTTGAGGAATATGACAGCTATCTAAATTAAAACCACTGCTGCTTTTAATTTATATAAATGAAATTTATGTCCTGACATGGCTAGTAAACTAGACAAGTGCACAGATGATAGTAAAAAGGGAGGATTATCAAACACTGTAGAAGCTGCAAATCAAATTCAAAAAGACATATAAAGAAAAGACAGTTCAACACCTGGCAAATATTTAATGTAGGCAAGTGCAGAGTGTTGCATGCAGATAACAAAAAACAAACTTTAAATATATGATGGGAAACACACTGAGTGTTATAATCTGCTTAATAATAAACTTTATTTTATATAGCACCTTTCATGGTGTATTATCTCAATGCACTTTACAATAATATAATCAAACTAAAGAGAAAAATAGACACAAATGATGTTTATGTTGACATATCATCTTGACTGTTGGAGGAAGCAATAAAAATGAAAACATTGTTGGGATGCATTGTGTTATGGGGCTGTTATTTGTTAAATTCAAAGCAATTGATGTATTCCAATTTTAGAATTCAGTAGTAAGACCTCATTCAGAAATTCGCCTACAATTTTGACCATCATGTTCTGAACAGTTATTGCTGCTTTGGAATCAGTGAATCAGGAGAATAATTACATACATTTCTGGGCTTAAGGGAAATGCCTACTCTTGACATGCTAATAGAATCCAATCTTTTCAGTCTTCATGAGAGAGGACTTCAGGGGGATGCATTGTCTGTTCTGAAGACTAAGAAACAGCTTTAAAAATAAAATCAAAACTAGACATACCTTTTAACATAATGGGTTGTGGGAGTCTAGAACAAGCTACCTGGACATGATTTCAAAGATGGTAACCTGACTTTCCAGAAACAGCTGAATAAGAACCTCAGACCAATTTGTTGTCAGCAATCAACTGTGCTAGGAGGGAATTTTTCTTGTGCTGTTGTTTCCACTTTGAAGTACACTACTGTTAATGAGCTGTTATATGCTGAATGGGCTAATAGCTCCCTCATGTGGGTAAATGTAAAATTGCAGCTTTTATGTAAAATCAGCAGCTTTTTGATGTAACGTAAAGTGCTTTTAAATAGAAATACTTTTCCCAGTCCTTTTACCTCAAATTTCACTTAAAGGGACCAGAAAGGACCCTGAAAACATTGCTTACTTTTAGAAGTGATACTCATTTTCTTACCTCTCATTAAATATCTAATTTCTCAAATTAGCTATGTGCTCAGGACATTGCTAACATAGCCCCCAACCTTGCAAATGTTGTCATCTTGGTTTAAGGACTATGGATAGTACCAGAGATGGTTTCACACAATTAAATGAATGATAAAGGAAAATGTCCTCTATCTAATCATCAACATGTAAATCTGCTGAGGGAACCCTTACCTTCATACAGTATCCTAGTACAATAATACTGAATAACCTGAACATCTAATTCATATTGTCACTTCCTTTACTACTGTATTACTGAAATAAGCATTTAAAGAGGTTGTTCTTCTTCAATTTTGTAGTGCGGAGGTACAGTATGTATGTTATTTTCAGAGTAAGCCCTAAATCAGGATTTGACTTGGGATTTTTAGGTCCATCCATCTATAGTCTTCAAGAACTGGTGTTCAAGATACAGTACACAACATATACTGTAATGAAATGGAAAACAAAACATGCATCTTTGGCCATTGCTGAGTTTAATAAAGCAGTTATGCTGTAAAATAATAAATGTGGGGTACAAGTCTCAGGACATTTACATTATTCCACTGTGAGAATTCTCTGTAGAAAACTGTTCATATTAATGGTTCCTGTTTTTCTCTGAGTTCCCCTGTTTTGTTTGAAAGCAGCTTACTTGTTAGTAATAAACAATGACTATGTTTAAAAGTAAGATTGGGCATAGACAACAGATCTAATTAATCCTTAATTTTCTTACCCAGGAGTAGAAACATCTCCCAATGTGGAGTCCAAGACAGGTGCACCAGGTCCACAAGGTACATTTTTATATTTGAGCTCTAACTAATAATTGCTTGTATTTTTACAGTCTAAGCAGTTTTGTAAAGAAATTGCTGGGAATGAATTGGCATTCACACAACTTTAATACTCAATCTAATTTAATAACAGAAGTCCTGAGCTTTGCATGGATCAATAATTTTGAATTTTGTATTGTATTGTGAGCTTGAAAAAAATAGAGGCCAAGAGAAGTGCATTGATGTAGTTTAGTACAGCCTTTTCATTTTTATTTAATTAGTTTTAGTAAGTGTCTGATTGGAGCTGATGGATCCTACCATGCTAAATTCTAGTTTATTTAGTGTAGACATTTAGCATACTTGTGACGCTGAAGCACTGGAGTGACTGTACACATGAAAAATCTGAGATACTGATGTAGAACTGAAGAACGTCTGCTCTCCTATGTCCTTAAACATATGTTTGAAACTGGTGCCGTGTTCCAGAATAGACTGTGTAATTTGGGGAAATGAGGTTTTTAGCCTAGGTTACTTGATAGTTCTAGGTGTAGGTAACATGGATTAAAGACTATGGAAATCACATTGTTCTGTTATAGGCCCAGCTGGTTCAAAAGGAGAAAAAGGAGAAAAGGGCAGTCAAGGTGAGAGGGGTCCTGGTGGTCCAAAAGGAGACAGTGGAACTGGATCAGCGGGAAAGCTCCGTGGAGAAAAGGTATAGCTTTTTTTCCAGATCCACTTACATAGCAATTGAATTGTGTGAGGCACCTAGAAGTAGCATTTACACCAGAGTAGAATTTGGCTTCTTTTGCTAGGCTTCTATAAAATCAAAGAAAGCTATATTGAATTAGCTAATTTGACACAGATCTTTACTGCTTCCTTGAAGGAAGAACGACTACCAGATTATTTATTAATGCATCAAAGAATTGCTATGTTTGAGTTGGAAGGTGACTGTGCTTTTGTCTGTGACTGTACTTTTCTTCTAGTTGAGCAGTGGATCTGTCAGGTTTACCAACAAGCCATTGTCAATATTTCTGCAGGGTTTTGGACTGGTCTAACTGTGATATCCTTAAAATTCCACTGCCAGTGTAATTCACTCTTTACCATCGAAGCCTTACTAGTACAAGGTCTAAAGTGTACATACAGCTTAAACAGCAAACCTGGAGCTGGTTTTCATATTTATGTATGTTTATGTATCCATTACCTAACAACACCTCTATTTTGGCTTTTCTAGGGTGAATCGGGAGAAAAGGGCACCAAGGTTTGTTTTTTATAAGCTTTTTAAAAACCATTTACATTTCTTTTAATATTTTCACTGGCTTTAAGGGAAGGGGGGGAGTTGATTTTTGTTTTAGGAAGCCAAGCTGATTTTATATGCTTTTAGAATTTTCTCTCATTTAACTTTCTGTGCAATAAGGGAAAGGTGTTTTAACAAAAGGGGAAAATTGCTCTACAGAGGTTTTCAATGTTAGTGCTTTAAAAACAGAGAATAAGAAACCACCAAATTCGAAGAATACTTCCAACAAATTAAAGATTATGAAAACATTTTTAGAAATAAAAATAAGTAAGGGAGAATGTCGCATTAAATATACTGAACATCAAAATGAACTTATGAATCAATTTATACATGTATTTCTTTTGATAAAAAATGTATATTGATTATGGTTACTGACTAAATAGCTTTTCACTTCATTTGATGATTTTGATCTATAGTGATACTTGTGATATACTTGAGTGACTTTGAGTGTTGCATAAACATTAAATCACCTCATTAGTTAGAGTTGTAGACTACCCTGATATATGTGTGGCAAGTGTGGCACAGGCTTGCAGGAGAATAAGCTGTTTCTGTAAAACAGCCCAGTGGGAGGGTTTTAAGGTAACAGGTCCTTGATAAACAATGAAGATCTTTATTAAGATCGATTTTAAGTAGGCTCTGAGAATTATAGGCTGTATTAAATTCTTTTCAACTATGAAGAGTTTAGCCTTCACTTGTTAATGTCTTGGGACCTTACTTACCTTCCTGTGGGTTCATCCCTACATACATGTAACAATTCATGCCCTCCTGCTGTTCGTATATGAGTGGCTGTCTTGCAAGATGAGAGTGTGACAGTAATGCTTGCGGCAGTGGCCACACACACTCCTAGCCTTTGACATTTACAATACCCCTGTTGATCAAATCAGTTAATCAAACATTAATCAGCACAGTGAATTAACCTATGCCGTGTTTAGTAAATAAAATATCGGTGTACCTGCTACATAAAATTGTTATTGTAATTTCCCTTATAATAACCATTCCAATTTCCACTTTGTTGCATTGTAAGTTATTGTTTTTTGGTGCTCTGTACACATATGATAAAAACAAAAATATGAACAATTAATTAGCTATTTTTTGGCAGTTTTCAAGGTTTGTGTTTTTGTCTTAAGCATATGTATCGTTTAAATGTTTTTTTTTAATTTTCAGATTAATAAAACTCAGTAATCCTTTGCATATTTTGTTTTTAAGTTTTTTAAGCTACATTTTGAAGCTTGTTGTTGAACTCCAAGGTATGGAACCACTAACACAATATGTGGTTTTACGGTCTGTCATAAACAGATTGTTGCTTATCCCCCAGGTGATGCCGTTGTGGATGCTAACTCAGTTTCTTGTCTTGTCACAAAGGGAAGTGCTGGCTTTGGATACCCTGGAGTGAAGGGGGATCCTGGTCCCCCTGGTCCTCCTGGGCCCCCAGGACCCCCCGGCCCTGCGGCAGAGGTGCTGAAGCGTGGAGACGGTTCAGTGGTGCAGCAGGTAGTGGGAGCAAAGGGTCCCCCTGGCCCCCCTGGACCCCTAGGGCCACAAGGACCACCAGGAGCAGATGGAGAGCCTGTGAGTCTAAAATTCCACTTTCATTAATCTGTGTACTTGTAATACCAAGCACTCAGAGCCAGGGCATGTATTGGGCTTTTTCACTAAGTTGCTTGTACAGCCACACATTTGATCCTAAAAGAGATTCCCTCGGCCAAACATCTGTGCGTTATAATGTATTTGAAATGATAAAAGATTTCCAATGAAAAAAAATTGTACAAACTCAATCCTCCCTCCTCTTACCTTTCCATGACAAATTAATTCCTAATTATCAAGCTGTTACAATTATATTGGATGATTGTCAGTTATTAGTTATGGTCATGGTGCATCTGTAAAGTGGAGTAGTAATTAGGGCCCTGGTTCCAGTCCATTGCTGATGTACCCTAGGACAGGCTACTCTGCCCAAAGTGTTCTAGTAAGCCCTGCTAATAATGACTTACAGAAATTAGAATTACCAATTTTTGACATGCTCATTTTGATATTAATTTATACATTAATATCAACATGTGCATGTAGGAAAATGGTCATTCTAATTGGTCATTTTGGATAAACACAGCCAAATGGACTATTTCATTTTTCACAACTTAAAAAATAGTCTCAAAATCATAAATAAAGGCAAACTGAAGCACGTATACCATTTCATCATATTTTATTAATGGACAGTTGTTTTTATTTTCACTGTACAATGCCTGTCATTAAGCTCTGAGAATTGTAAAAAAAATCACATAATGGTTGTGTGTTCTTTCTGTTGTTAGTTAAATGAATGTAAATTACTTGCAATTTTACTTGGGATCCATTAATTTGAAATAATGTTAGGGTCATTGATGGCATGTTTCATACTGATTTAAACACTTTAGGTGGAAGAAAAGTTCAGCTTAATATTACCCATCCAAGGTGTAAAAGAGGTAGAATGCAGTGCTGAATAGTAAATAGGTCTCTAAACACCAGACCAGTGGGTCTTGTGTTTAAATCTCAGGTGAGATTTTAATGCTCTTGAGCAAAATAAGCATGATTTATTCATTCTCAATTTACTTACCTGGCTAAACAAAAAAGTAAAACATATAATTTTACAAAATGTCCTGATTTTAAAAATGCATATTTTAAGTTCATTCTTCTGCTTCTTTCTTTCTTGATAAAAAAACAAGTGAAAAGATCTGAACATTTGTATTTGTTAATAATGTCTCAGAAGTTTACAGTTCTGTACAGCAGAAAAGCATTTTTGCCTATATTTGTGATATGTTAGTTATAACAAATATACATTCATAAACTTAAAAGACCATTGTTTTTCCCACAGGGTGATCCAGGTGAAGATGGTAAACCGGTAAGTCTCTTTCAATTGTTTCACTTCTTTTTACAAGATTTACAAAAGCAAGAAGGTTGCTGGTACATCCTTCTCACGGCTTTGGTTTAAATGAATTGCACTTTCTGGGTTGTTCCTCGATTCCTTAATCAAAAATGTTTATCATCTACCATTCAGAGAAAAACCTTTTAAGATTTTCAATAAGTCAATAAAGCAAGCAAGTCATGCGATTAAAGAAGACATACACCTTTTCCCTGGATACGCACTACTTGACATGGTAAAATTTTCAAGTTAATGAGAGTTTGTTACATCTGTAAAGAGAAAGTAGTGCAGCAAGTTCCTTCAGAGGATAGATAGTGCAGAGTAAACTTAATGCTTGACTACTAGCATTACCTTTCATGCACTTTGTTCTCATGCAGTTGTTGCAATTTATACGTATAATCTTGAAAATGATGAACAATCTCTATAGTAACCATGTCATGGAACACCCAAGTGATTTTATTATATTTATTATTTACTGTGTATTTTATTATATGTTTAATTACTGGATTGTATAGTGTAAGGTAAGAAATGTACAGTTTGTTACATGTTGGTTTAAAGGAAATTCTCTTATTTTAATTGCGGGTTTTTTTTTACTTTGTTTTACTTTGGGAGTCCTATTTTTAATGCCGTCAGTAAGTATATTACACTATTTCAAAACATTTGTACTTCATCAAAGATTGAAAAACTATAGTAAAAGTGAATGATTGTGTAGCATCTTCAGTGTTGGAAGGCTTTCCTGTTGCTTTCTCATATTAATAATCCATTCATCCATTATCATAAAGCATCCTGGAGTCTATTCCCCGCAGGGCAGGATTACAACCTATATTGCACATCCATTCATTGATTACCCAGTGAAAACCTACAGTATGTAGATGAAGGGCGAACACGCAAATTCAGAAGGCAACCCAGACCAGAACTGAGCACGAGTGTTGTATGACAGAAGTACTGATATTATACCTTACTCATAGTAACTTTTCTAAGCCAATATTTTAAACATATTTGACCCAACAGAAATACCTTCTATTGCTAACTGTCACCTTTGGTATGTTTTCTTCCACCTACTGTACCACTCAGATTCTGGTATATAATTCAACAACTTTTACATGTATTATTTACATTTTTAAAGCAAATTTAATCTGCAGTGGCACATACCGGAGCATGCTATATTGCTGCTATAAATAATATTTGCAATAGTGTAATAAGCAATTTATTTAACACATTTCACTCCAAGAAATCCAAGAAATCCCAAAGTGCTTTATATATAGAAGGTATACAGCATATATACCCATGTCTTTCAACACCAATGTACAACACCCACCATGATGCATATGAGGTATGGTGTGTTAGCAGTCCCACAGTATAGCAGGGAAATTGCTTCACCAGTTGAATTAAAGGGAAACGTATCTTTGGGATGACCAAGTAGTCAGGCCTCTGATTTAACATCTTACCTGGAGAATAGCATCTTCTAATGACATAACTATGCTTGATTATTGCTGTTGTTGCTGAAGATGGCAAAAACGAGACTCAGATCCCTCCTGAAAACCAAATCTCATATTCCTACCTGACCCGCTTTCTAGATCTCCCAGATGGATGCAGGATTGGATAGCAGACATTCTGCTCCTGTTATGTCTACATCTTATTTTGTAAAAGAATCCTTTGTACCACTACAGTCAGTAATCCATTCTCCATATCCTCTTAGGGTGCAGTTGGCCCACCAGGTTTTCCTGGAACTCCAGGGGATGTCGGAGTCAAAGGAGAAAAGGTAGGAAAATTGAAAATGGTTTAAAAAACAATTGAGAAGTTCTTGACAGCTTGTGTGATGGTTCTATTATCTTTGATTTAAATGTTTACTCAATCTCAATGTAAAACAATTGCCAAATGTTCAAGATTATAAAATATTTATGAAACATGTTGGCCATTCAAACTGTAGTGCATGATTTCATACTTTAAAAACGTTTGTAACTGATACTCAATATTCATTTGTCTGTATTTGTAGGTCATAAACCTGTTAAACAGCATTTAGATGATTTTAACGAACACACTCATTGTTTTTTTAACTAAACTAATTGTTTAATACAAGACATTTGATTTGTTGATAAAACTAATTTGGAATTCAAATAGTGTCTGATTTAAATTTACTAGTGAAACTAGCACTAGATGTTGCACAAGATTTTCAACAGAAAGAACTAACTTTCCTAATAATTATGACTGAAGGAAAAGAGATTCTGGATATGGCCTGTCGGTAAAAATTCAATAAATCTGAAGTGACATTTAAACTAATGGCACCCATAAGAAATATGAATACAGTAAAGAACATGACAACCTGAGAAAGCTTACAAACAGGAGGAGGAAATTTGGTTTGTAACGTTTTTTTTGGCTACTGCAATCCATTCAATAGATGGATGTCATCAAGCTGTTTTTCTTGAACGAAACGACAGCAAAATAATTGGGTACTTTGTTACAGACTCCAACAACCTCCCCTGTAAAACATTTTCATGTTCATGCACTTCTGTAAATTTCTACTTGTGTCCTGTGGTCTGTGCTTCATGACTGATTCTGAAAATGTCAGTTGGGTTGACTCTTGGAAGATATAAATCTGTCCCCCTCTGTTCAATACTTAATAATAAATTATTCACTTGAGTAACATTCCTTTAACCTTGAGAAAGTAAAATAAATCTCGGAGACACTAAATTCATCCTTCACTACACTTTCACTGTTGTGATACTGCAAAAAAATCTTTGCTTATTTTACTTTCTATTGCAATATATTTTTCTCTTATTTGGCTTTTCCTTTTTTTATATATATAACATACAAATTTTGATTTTTACAACCATTGTATAAAACAAGATTTCTAAAGATTTTGCCCCAATCCAATTTTTTTTTGTGTATCAAAGTACTGAAGTTCTTATCTAGCAGTACTACCGGATTAGATTTCTTTGACTTTTTCCACTAGCATTTGACACTTGAATTTCCCAATCTGCGTCAGGATTACACAGATCATTTTATCTTTTAACTCTGTTTCTGATTTCTTAATATCTTCCCCTATTTCATTTTAAAATGATTTTTAAATGTTCACACATCCTCATCCATATAAAACAAAATAAGATGATCTTGTGGGCAAAGAGAAAGCAAGCAGTATTAGATAAACAACGAAAGTAAGTTGTGTAACACATCACTGAGACTATACAGTATATAAGGCAGAATGTTTCCAGGTCAGCAGAAGTGCCTGGCGGAGCTTCTCTTTGGGAACATAAATCAACCTCAGAAGCCAGGGTTGTTTTATAGGAGGCTCTTTGTTGCATTGTGTGGCATTTTAAATCAGTCCAGTGATTGGTGAAGGGTGGTCTTGGGTGTCTGTTCCTTGTCTAATTTTTCCTGATTTTGTTCCCCAGGGTGACAGAGGTGAAGGCCAACCTGGACCCAGGGGACCCCCAGGGCCGCCTGGACTACCAGGACCCTCTCGCTTTGATAGACCCGTATGTCCACATTTCAGTAGACTCACTCTCTTTATTTAAATAGCTAATAAAAGCAAATGCTCTGTATTGCTGATCATATGTTACTGCACAAATGCTGTGTAATGTATTATGATTCTTTTTGCACTAGTATAGTCTAGTGTTTGAAGTGGAGCATCTAGAAAATAAAAATATATGATGAACAGAGATTGGATTTATTATTTGTCTATACCACATCATGTTCCACTGACCTGCTTTTTGAACTTGTTTTGTCCTTGAAGTAATATTTAATGTGTACATTGCTTCTTAATTTAATAAAATGTATAGAAATATTTTAATTAATAGAAAGCAGATGAGATGAATTTTTCTTCTTCTTTTTCTCTTTTAAGACATTTGATGATATGGAAGGTTCTGGATCCCTGGATTTGGACAGTTTCCGGGTATACTCTTTTGTTCATTGTTTTTTTTTTAAATTTGTATTCTAGTCAAAATTCTATAATTGTAATAGATAACACAGTTTTTCTTTCTGCGGTGATTTCTTGTTACTGATTTTAACTTTTGTTGTTGCATGACTTTATTCCGTTCTCTTTAATATGCAAGTCAGTTATTTTAAAAAGGTAACAGAGTGTTCCAACGTAACGCAGTAATTATTTCATCTCAATATCCCGGTGACCTAACTAAAGCCAAAAATGTCCGTCAATCCAGAAAAATCTCTCTCATGCTTTCAGGGTCCCCCAGGTCTTCCTGGGCCACCTGGCCCTCCGGGGCCCGCTGGTCCTCCCAGCAACCCCGGCCCGCTTGCTTCTCCTATCCTTGGACCTCCTGGCACCCCAGGCCGTGACGGGCGAGATGGAGCAAGAGGGCCACCGGTGAGCTTCAATAGTAATGGTCAAGAGTCTTGTTGTAAAATGTGTAATATATTCAAGGAAAAGTCCATGGTGGTTATGTTTTCAGAAAATCACAAAATTGACATTTGGGGCAAGAGCAACACACAGTGCCTGTTTTGAAGTGAATCTGAAGTGCTGACTTAACGATTCTTCACAGAAATACTTACCATAATATCCGTAAATGAAAAGACAAGCAGGTGCATGCAGGCATTTATGTTGCCCTGATTTTTTTTCAGAATCCTAATGTTTCTTTTAGAACTGTTATAGTATTTCTTTAAAGTCATCTGCACGTTTCTGATGTCCGCAATCTTGTTGTTTTTTTTTAGTTGTTGTCAAGAGGCTTAATGAAAGCTAAGCACTTGTGTCTACAGCTCACCAACACCTGTAGCTTATTTTTGCTCCATACTCCATGTTACTGGAATGATGCAAAAAGCCAATGACAGTTTTTGGACTAATATAAATGTATTTATAAATGGAGCTGCAAATAATAGTTTTGTAATATATTACTTTAGGGTCCCCCTGGGCCTCCAGGGAATGATGGACAACCAGGATTAGCAGGGCCTAAAGGAGATAAGGTGAGCAATATTTAAAAGCAGAATGCACAGAAAAAACATGGGTTTTCGAAAACATGTGTTCTTGATTGTAGCATCAATAAACCTGTTCTGATGACAGTCTTTCTCTTGTAAGAAATGCTGATAAATAAATCTTCCACATGAATGAGAAGTGATAAAGTATATAGGAAGGCATTGCTGGAATGAAGCTTCCTTAGGAGCTGGGAGCAGGGAGAGGAGTCTTAGCTGGGCCTTAGTTGAAAAGACTTAATACTATTTTTTATATCTCTAGGGTGATGCAGGTGAATTAGGCCTTCCTGGACCAGTTGGTGAGAAGGTGAGTAGGAAATTTGACATTGTACTTCGCTTACATTCCATTGTACTTCACTTACATTCCACTAGCCATGGTGGATCACTCTATAAATGCTCTGCTTCACAAATTAACAGCCACACATTTGCCAGCAGTAGTGCTAACAGTTACAATCCCATATAGAGGTAAACCCTGAGACACATCTGAGACCTCTTTACATGCTGTGGAAAGGCAGAATGTATAGTGCTGTTGTCTGTCATCTTTCCTCATTTCTAATAGTCCTTGAGTGCTTCATTATGTCTTAATTTACACATTGCAATGTGTTAAAGGAGTTAGCTTTAGTTAGGAAATATTGTATACCTAATAACCACTTCTGGGATACTTATGTTATTTGGTAGTAACAGCTATTGGTACTTTGACTAAGGTTTTTCTTTTCCTATGTTAACAAAGCAAAATAAAAGACACAAGGTTTTAAACATTTGGTGACTAAATTCATGGTGAATAGAAAATGTTTGAAGCCCTTTTTGTATTAGTTTAAAACTGCCTGCCATTCAAAAGTATATCTATATGTTTGAAGGGGCCACTTTGTTAAAATGTACCTATACACAATTGAAGGAGCCTCACAAAATTTCTTTTGAATATACTCTCCTCTACTTCTCTTGTTCAAGCAGGGAACTTCCCATCCTATTCCACCCTATCTCTTAGAACTGCTGTCTTTCTATTCCTCCTCATCCTCCTCAGGAATGGCTGGGATGCAGGTACCAGGTCTCCTGCATGGCATTCTGATCTATTGAGTGGCATTCAGGCACCTTGTGGATAAAGACAATTCCACTTCTCCAGTGCCTACTCTTACATATGCATTTATACCTTTGCAAGATGTTACAGACTCATACTATAAAAAATATAGACGTCTGAGTTGTTTAACTGTGTGAAAAAAAGGCTGCTGGCATGAGGTTTTAGAATTCTGTAGTGTTATAACAATTTATGTATATTTAAAATGCACATTATGTCCAAACTAGTGCTGGAAATGGAAACAGTAGTAAAAATAATATTTTACAATTATTTATACTGTACTGCTTTAACATGAAGTAGTCTTTATCTTTCTTACTGTTTAAAAGCCTCTTTGTTTCAATAGAAAAGCTTATTTTTGGCATGTGTTAATGTTTTGCATTGAATGGACTATCTGTTAATGTCACTGACTAATTACGCAGGATCGCCGTAATCATAACTGCATGCTTTTCTTAAACAGGGGAATGTGATTGGATCACAGTTAAGTGTTTTCAGAAATTAGAGTATGGGTATTTCAGTGAATGTAAAATGTGAAACTAACTCACTTAACATTAGCTTCACATTACTGTTTTACAAAAGTGGCATAAAATGCTATCACTGGAAGGATTATGAGAACATCATCAAACAGGGATATGCACAGGTGGCTATTTCAATATTTGTGGATATTAACACTTTTGTCTTAATAACATTTATGTTAATATTGTTCATTCAACAAATTGTTCCCATTTGTGTATTAAAATGTGCCATTTGTCAATTAGCTGTGAACTGTACCCTAGCATTTTGGGCAGTTTTGAGTGGTTTAAAGAATCTGACAATAATGTGATTCCAAGGGTATTGCACTCAATTTTTTATAAGAATAATAAAGGCACCTTATACTGTACATATTTGTTTCTCCCTGAGGTTATACTTTTTTTGTATGCTTTTATTTTGACTGAGCCTAAATTCTGAATTACTGTAGATCTTAAGATCTCATTGATTATACTGTATATTAATGAACACTGATAATATTAAGATATTTTTAAAATTCTACGAAGACTAATATATTAGAATTGTAATATAATTTAGTATATATATACTATTATGCGGAAGCGCAATTATCTCGTAATTAGAGTTAGTATTAAGAGTTAGTACTTCTCGCGTACTTTATGTGATCACGCAATAGCACAATTGTCATATAATACCTATATCACCATGTGCGGATTTAGAGTTTTAAGCAGTGGAACTGATTGCACATACAGTTTAACTGTTAATAACGAAACCATCACTGCTTTGATCTCTAAATCCCACAAAACTGGTCTGCATGCTTGTAATGATTCTGCTCGATTTAGCAAATGTGCTAAAAATGGCAAGATTTCATTATGACTAGTGATATCTCAATCCCAGTTAACAGTAAGTCCATACAAATTCTGCAGTGATGGACATTGACACGATCATTACACAGAGTGCCAGCCAAGTTCATGGTAGCTTCTAGATGCGTTCAGTGCACAACATAACAGGTTGTACATTCACCGAAGTAATCATTGATATAATGTAATTATGAGATAATTCGTTATCTTATAATTGCGAGAAACTTTTCGCGCTTTCCTGATTGTAATGGCGTCTTATTTCACAAACATCTTCTATTCTGCAGGGCTCAAAGGGTGATTTTGGGCTGCCTGGCCAGCCTGGTATAGGGGGATTGGCTGGTCTTCCTGGACCAATGGGACCTGTAGGACCCCCCGGCCCACCAGGACCCCCAGGACCAGGCTTCCAAGTTGGCTTCGTAAGTACTGGAGCATCAGAGAGGGAAGGTAGTACCAGAGATGTCCCAGAGTCCTCTCAACACAGGCCTGGTTTACGGTGCTCCAACAAAATTTGTATTTTTCAAATAACAAACAACATAGTACATACTAAAGTTATTGCTGGGGCTAGGAACATTATGCTTACATATTACCATACTGTGCCTTTGCATCTTCTGGACAGTCAGCACATATATTGCACAATAGATGATTTGTAATTGGAAGAATTGTACATAAACCAACAGACGTTGAGTGATTGAGGCTGTCAGGACAGTATGTTCATTGGCTTTAGTTTCTCTGAAATCTGCATTTAGAAATATCTACATTTTCTAATGTAACAAATAAAGAAACTAATGCTCCTTCTGTTTGCCTCACAATTGCTCTGTATAGTTTTGAGATGTAAAATCTCATCAAGAACACGGGCATGTTTTATAGTAGTTCAAGTAGGTAGCTGCATCAGCATATGTAGGCTGCAAAGGAACAGGTAACAGGTTTGTTCCATGCTAATAAGAAAGGAAGCACAAAGTTTCGGCTGTGGAGCCTTCTTCAGGTATGAGGTCACACCTGAAGAAGGCTCCACAGCCGAAATGTTGTGTTTCCTTTCTTTTCAGCATGGAATAAACCCAGCAGGTTTATATATACTGATATCACTAGCAAAGAGTTTTAATACTCTTTTCTATCTCTCCCTGTATTCTCATAGTCTAGTGGTAGGATAGAAAAAGCTTTTGAAAATGTATGTTTTGTTATATAGTTTATCTTCTTTCATGTCCACCCAACTTACAGTATGTTGGTAAAATGCAGCTTTACTACACACTAACACCATCCTAGATGTTTGTGCATTTGATAAGTTCAATTGTTTAAGGCCGGGAAAATAAATTACTACAATGCAAGATCTTTTTTATCTCAAAACTATCCCAACTTTCAATTTAGACAATACCCTACATTGAAAATAAAGCATAGTATATGAACGTCAACATCAGTTCTCATGTGAGTATATGGTGTGCACTGGGTCTTGTGTATTAAATACTAACAGAGCTCTCTGTTACAAGGATGATATGGAAGGCTCAGGATTCATGAACGGAATTGCTGGTGCAAGAGGACCAGAGGGACCACAGGTATGTCCTTTTCATTTTAACAAGATGTTTAAGGCTCTGCTAACAAAATAGTTCTTATTTTTCCTGTGGGCAGATGGCTCATTGTAAGTGACTTAGAAGGGATATTTTCATGCAGTTTAGGATCAGTGCAAAATCAATATTCAAAAAAATATTTCCCAACCAAAACAAGAAGGATAAAATGAGGGTTTGGTATATCTTGTTTTCTCTAAAAATGGATCTGCTCATGTCATATTGATTAAAAAGTCTCTTAGTCTCTTATAACCTTATGCCACCATTTCAGTCCTACAGTATTGACCCAATGCATAAATCTGTAGTTAAGGTATACTTTTCACTACCATTAACACATTTTTTAATTGTTTCTCAAGTATCACAAATGCAAGTAATCTTAAAAAGCCTTGAAATAAACCACTAAATTTGTTTTCACAGCAGCAAAACTCTTTTTTAATAAACCAACAAATTAATGGCTAGCACTGACTGATATACTTCAAACACATACAACAGATCTCAAGAATAACATCAGTTTTTACCAGCAAAATCAAACCACATCACCTAATTTAAATATATCTAAATAGAACAGACAATAAACTCCTGGTACAACAATGACCAGGTAAAACAAGATATAGCAACACAATATTTTTGACAGTTCTGTGATGCTCCAAAGTCCATTGATAATTTAACCATTTTCCAGCAAAAGAAAAATTAGTCAAAATGCATAAAACCCATTTTACATACCTTGTAAAGCAGCAAAGATCCTATTCTTATGTCTTCCTATGCTATTGATGAACAAAATGCCTTGACCAAACAAAGGTTCCTAATTTTGTTCAAACTAACCACTAAAACCACCAAAACATGATCTAATAGGGAGAAACATTTGTCTTTCAGCGAATTCTGACTATTCAGAATTCACTCACTATTCTTAGGGTAGGTCCTTAGGTATCCTTTGCATTTGCCATGATTTCTTTTGCTTTTGTAATTTCTGTCAGTCAAAAGAAGGTTACAAAAACTAAGGATGGTTAGTCATAAATACACACCGGAAGTGTGCAAAAAATTTACAAACACACTTTTTTTACATTCTAAACACCATAATAACCTCTTAAGCATTCCTAGCAATATAATGTTTTTTATTCTTCTTTCTTTTAATTCTCATTCTCTTTTTTTTCTTTTTTAAAAGGTGAAAAAAATACATTTCCAGGTCTCGTCTTTATAAAAATTAATGCCGATTTCTTTTTATGTTAGTTCAGTCGCTTGAAAAATTCTGTATATGACGAGTAAGACATATAAAAGTAAGACATATATAGAGTAATAAATAAAAAATCTGAATGTTCTGACTGGATGTCAAAGGGGTTCCCTTGAATTCAAGACCCAAACCAGGCCTGTACTGTGTATACTTTCCAAGATAGTTCCAGATTTTTAAAAGGTACATCCATTTCAGAAAGAAACTGACCTTGAGTTCCATTTGGGGCAGGGGAAAGATTTACTCTGCTGACAATTTCACACTTGGAGGCTAATGCATTGTGTTATTTCCTTAGCAGCTCCAGTAATATGTCAAACGGAAATCAAGAGTTTACTCTGCACACAATGTCAATTGTTTTTCCCAGTTTAAAGGTTTATCTCTTTAAAAGAGAAAGTGGCTAATCATCCATTTCAAAGACCCACATTTCTTTCCCTTTGTTTTTATTTTAGGGCTGAGTGAAGTGAATTTAGAAATAGTGTGATATAGTCCTCTACATAGTAAGGATCAGCTTTGCACTGAATTGTGAATCATTCTACTGTACAGTCCAGTGTTATTGTGCAATATTTTATTGTGTTTTGTTTTCCACTTATATTAGTATGTACATTGAAACACTTGTCATGTTAAGCTTTGTGTGTTTTTCAGGGTCCTCCTGGGATTCCAGGCATACCGGTTAGTTTTTTATATTTAAAAATTCAGTATATTTTTTAAAACTGTCATTTGTTTGCAGTGCCTTCAAACTGATAAAGGTAGAATATCCCCACTCTTCCTCTCTCTTCTGAGAGATTTGTTGAACATAGAGTAAACAGAACCACAGAATCACAATTGTTTATACTGTATTTGCAATCAAATGTTCCATGATAAGAAGCACTGTTAAAGCTGAACTGTGGGTAAGCAGATAAGTTAAGTAGGTTAGAAGAGACAACAACAATTTCAATGTTTTGTCCTAAATATTTACAAATATTAGCAAAAATATGCATGAGGCATT